GACCTGCATGGTCTCCAAGAGTTCTTTGGGCTAGGCCTGACAGGAAGATGGTGAAGTTAATACAAATCTTATTTATCCTCATCTTCAGGCAGATGTACTGCCTGAACAGTTCTCTCAGTATATGATCTCTGGATCCAGATTAATGCCTTTTTATTTTAAGAATAATTTTTGGAACTTTATTTTAATTGGTAATTTTGTATTTGTTAACATGCCCCCACCTCCAAAGTCTAATTGCTTACCTGCTCCAGTTCAGTTGGAATGTACTGTATAGCACCACAGGTGGAAGCTACTTTAAGAAGGCTGCAGTAGACTGTATACCTTGCAGGGGTATTTTTGTCCATTCCATGGAAGAGGTTACTCAACCTAAATAAAAATGAACAATCTGTTCTCACCAAATTTGTAAGTCCACTAAAAGGAAGCATTTTATACCATTACATTGAATTCTGTGATACTCAGAATTTTTCCTGAGCCTTATAGAATATATTATTCCCATTTTGCTACTAATATATGCAGAAATATGGGGGGGAAAGTTCATGGAGTCTTACAAGATTTCCAGATTTCTTTCACCAAAGATCATTTTTCTCCCAGAATAAAAATGCATGTAATGAAAAACATACTATTTTCTATCAGACAAGACACTTACAGCTGAAGCCTGAGTGATGGGCGTTCACCTTCCCGAAATTTGACTAGTTTCTCACACAGACTTTCAATCAAAGCCTCTTGTTTGTCAGGTTCCAGAATAAGAAGCAAAGATACTACACTGTTCATCACGCTTTCAACATCTGTATAGAAAAATAAAAGCTTAGATTAATTATAAAAGGAAATAATAATGAATTAACTTTTAATAAGTGTCCCAGTCATTATTTACAACATGGACAGTATTTTTAAAACTGTTGCGCTAATAGTGATAAACCACTTGAAGAGTTTAAAATTGAAATAAAATCAAAATATGCACAAAATTTTAATTAAGCTTAATTGAAACAGTTATGAACACAGAGCAATAAATAAAACCTATGATCTACATAACCTTCCCATAAAGTGGGCATTTAAAGAATCATATCAGTAGTGCAAATAAGAGACAAACTTCTTGCCATAGAAAAACTGAACTTATGCTTTCATAGAAACAAGGAACAAAGCCTGGGAAGATTTAAGGTTCCTTTCAGTGCAGTGGCAATGTCTGCTATAAAAATTGTATCATTCTAGATATCATGTATGGTTTCAGAACCAAGTGGGAAGCCAAACTTGGTCATCGTTATGGATAACAGATAAAAAAAAATATTTTTAACATATGTGATAATAGTTCTTTGCACAAACCACAAAACTTTAACTGAATTTGCTATGGCTGTATAGATAGTAAACCATCAACCTGGATATTCTAATATACTGAGTGAGGGCCAATAAACTGAATCTTAATAAGGCAGATGTTCTATGAATTAGTGGTTCACAACTCCAGAAATTAGGTAAATATACTTCTCTGCATGAGGCTGTACTTGTCTTGGAGATATGTAGCTTGGGAGCATTCCTTGATTTATCTCTGACACTAGAGTGGGCAAATAAACTTAACAGCCTGGTATACACTTTAGGTGGCTTGGTCAGTTCAAGCTAGTCACATTAGTTTATGAGCTGATAATTTCTGATCTTGATTAGAGAATAAAAGCTTGTCAGCACTACCATCCAAGAATTGCTCTTCCAGAAAGAATCAGAACTATACCAAAATCCCCCCCAAACCTAAACTCCCAGATAGTCCAGAAAGTATCTCCCAAACCTAATCTTGCCTGTAAATGTAATGCAGCTCTCAGCTTCCATCCCCTCCCCCTGCCATGTAAAGGGTGACTGTTCACTCAAAATATGGGAATACATCAAGGTGGTACTATCTCTATCCAATTCCTACTGTAAATTATCCACCAGAGTGATTTAAGTTCATTTGCATCTCCAATCTAGGCTAAAAACTGTACAGTATTGGGAAGAATACAAGTAATTTGTAACATTCCTGTTCTTTACATCACTTCTATTTCATTCACTTTTCAAATATTTATCAAAACACCCTGTATTGTACAAACCTTTGTCATCTTCTTTTAGGCACACATCACAGGCTTCAATGATCTGAGCTAAATCAATATGAAGTCCACCTTCTGAATTCTCTTCAGAGATCTCTGCTCCCTTGGATTTTAGGTAAGCTCTAAGTTCTGCAGCCTTTTAAAGAAGAATATTGCCTATGAAAACTGCATATGCTCAGCAGCTCTAGAAAACTTAACAATTTTAGCCATTACTTGGTCATTGTAATATAAAATTTGTTATGGTACATAAAGTAGTGTAACTGGAATTCAAATTTTATACCACAAAGAATTGAAATAGTTTATCAAAAGTATCAATTAAAATCAATATGGTTGGAGAACAAACTGATCAGCTGATCATGGTTATATATAAGAAAAGTAATATTGCTGGTACTGTGCACAATTCCATATACCAATATATGAATACTCACATGTGAAGGTTTCATGAGAAATGGTCTACTTCCACCTACATAGCTGAGTTGTTTAAAGATAATCCCACCAATTGATATTGATTTTTAGCTTTTTTAAACTGTAGCATATTATCTCAGGCATATTAAATACTATATAACAATTATTTCAGGATATAATAGCTGCAAGAATAATTTATTTCATGTTATGATCCCCAGTTTTCAAAAAGAAAAGCACAGGTGCTTAAATAGGACCAGCAATAGCAGAAAGCAGGAATGATGCATACCAGGATGTAGTGACTGATAACTTGGAATATCTTTGTAAGAGCTTTTTAATTTTCAGTTGTTTTAACAGCACCGTTATTTAACTTTCCCTATGAACATGAAAGGATAGCAAACTGTAAGTAGAAGTGAATTTTGTGTTCAGTTCTGATACTGAAAACAAACCCTAGGCTCAAAATCTGTTCAGAATTATCCTGTTTGTTTCAGTTCTAAGTAATATCTTTTTGTGTTTGGCACTAATATGTGATCTTGACAGTCTGCTAATAATAATTTAAAAAATCAACTTTGAAGCTTGCCACGTTGTCATTAATAATGCTAGCTTAATCCTACAATTATAATTCACTAATTATATTTTATGTTTTGTAACCACACTTCTTTTAGCAAAGAATTAAGATTCCTACAAAAGATAGTAGGAAAGTGGTAATATAGGCAAATAGACGCCGAAGTGAGTGCAAGCGAAGCCATTCACGTAACCCAGTGTTGTCCAAACTTGGCCACTTTGAGTGGACTTCAACTCCCAGAATTCCCCAGCCAG